GCCTTGTCCCACCTAAATGACCGGAACCATGCCGAAACGCATATATACGTTGAATCATGACGAGTTCAGAAGCCCAGATTGAAAACAAACGAGAACTTTCACGCGAAATCCCGCATTACAAAAGAAAAACTTATACAATCTCCCTTCCATCATTCCGCCTCAGCCACCACTCGCCTGAGCCTCAATTTTAATCCCTCTTTCCATGCCAAACCACCTAGGCTTTCGATCTATAATATCTAAGTCACAGGTATCCCTGCCATCCTCGGATAGCTACCGCGTATATTCCACTCTCCTGGACAGTCCCTGAACAGCTGCCATCCTTGAGGTCCGAGTAGGACTACCAGCGAAGATGACCTCCGTCTTCCGCTTTTTAGTCGCCAGTGATTTTATATACTGGACAAGGTGACCGATGGAGTTTCCTCTACCACACTCACAGTGAAGTGTGGCTGTTATATGATTGAACCGGCGGTGGTACGCCGCGAAGTCACCATGTCTGATCAAGCAGCATTCAGGCAGGTGTAAACCGCTCTCGGAAGCGCTAGTTCTGGCGGTTTCTTGCACTGCATCTCTAATTCGAGATTGGCGTAACGTTTGGGACAATTCGAGTGCCACCAGTCTGTCACCATTTGACTAGCCGGTTGATGAACATGATGTCCTGAAGAAGCAAGGGCCATTATATCATTCGTCATCATGGCGTTATCTAGTAAGTCGAGCTCTCTTCGAGCAAGTTTATCTGCTATCTCGTTTCCCGACAGCCCTGAATGTCCAAGGACCCATCCTAATTTTACGGGTGCAGCGGCTCTCGCAGCCATCTTCCACAACTTTCGAACCCGCCAAGATGATGGGGTGGTAAATTCCGTAAATAGTGCCTGAACTACCGCGGAATTGTTGAGCAGGACGTAGATGGCGCTTCGTCTCCGATCTCGTTTCCTTGTGATAATAAACTCAAGAGCAGCTATAGCCCCCTAAACCTTCGCGTCGTAGACTTCCGCATTCAGGGGTTTTCCCGAGCCGCTTTGTTCAATAACTGTTTCAGCTCCAGTCCCACTGACAAAGGTCACGAAGGCCCATGAGATATAGTCGGTAGACGCTCCGTAACTATCGCTATCGGTGGATTCCATAGCTTGAAGTCGAAGCGTATGATAGCAATCTAGTCTACGAACTCGGGCGGCAGTTTTAAGCCTACGTTCCTCGAGAAGTATATGTGCTGGTGGAATGCCGGTCTCCCTTCTCATGGCTGTGATCGGACTGTTGCGCCAGGTTAGGAGAGTAGCGCGGATTCCGGACACGGAAGCTTGGTCGGGTACCTTGCACTGTATCCTGTGTGGGTTTCGCATAATACCTCGATATGTTTCCCGGGTTGGCCCTGGGCACCAAACCTCTGCATTATGTAACGCAATCGGAAGGATTACTTTGCGGGTGACTGTAGTTAGTAGGTCCGGCCGTGGTCCTTGAGTGCACAGAGTAAGAAGTCGAAAGTGTTGTACCAGGCGCATTGCTTTATTAGTCCAATTGGCAACATGACTTGCGAATATAAGGCCACGATCGAGGTGCACTCCAAGCCATCGAATCTCATCTGAACCTTGGATTTTGCGAGTGCCAATTCTGATTGTAGGTAGCTCGCGTCTTCTGGCTCTAGGGCCAAGGAAGTAAACCACTTCGTCCATATCCGGATCAAAAGCCATGGCGTTCTTTGAAGCCCATTCGAGGACTGAATAGACCTCCCGTTGGACGGATGATGCTACTTCGTTAGGAGTTGATCCCATACCAAGTATAGTAACATCATCCGCGTAGCCAAATCAGTAGACACTTACTCCCATGACTTCTACCATGTAGAGAAGAAAAGAATGGGCGTTAGCGGAGATCATTGAGGGAGTCCACACTGTAGGATTATTCGATCTGTTACGCCATCGTCATAACGAACGCGGGCAGATCGCCCTACCAAGAAGGATTTAATTCAGGGAACAGATAATTCCGGCCACCCATTTTTCTCATCCTTTGTAGTAGTCGCCCGTGGAGTACGGCGTCAAAAGCTCCCTGGACATCTAGAGTGACGAGGACAGTTTTCTTGTTAGACTGCATGGCGTGTCCAACATCATGGATGACGCACGCGGTAAGTTATTTGTAGATCTGCCAGGTAGTGCACCGAAAAGCTGCTGAGGTACCACCTCCTTTGAGAGAGAGGTGTACGCTATTCGCTTAGAAGTAAGCCTCTTGAGAACTTTGCCCAGGGAGGAAAGTAAAGCTATGGGTCGCCAGCCCTTAGCTATGCTTAGATTTTGACAGGGTCTGTGAAGAAAGTTGACTTCTGCCATCTTAAAAATCTTCGGGAAGTGATTTAGCCGCAGTGAGCCCTCGTAAAGCGTCCTTACTTCATGGCTAGTTGATGGCCATGCCGCCCTCAGAAGTTGCACAGTGATTCCGTCGGCCCTGGAAGCTTTAATTTGACATGTGATTGTAACCCATCTAGCTTCTTCGTGAGTGATGCTGGTGACGCATGGAAAGTTACTACCTCATGATTCAGAGAGCTCATCTTCGATATAGTTTTCGCTAGTTAAACGGCCGAGAAGTAGGTCTCTCAAGATATGAGCTCGTCGGTTTGGTTCTACTACAAAAGCATTAGGTGTTTGGAGAGGAGGTGCCGTGATTTGCGGTCGGGGTTTAGCCCAGCGGGCCATTCTATACATGTCTTTTTTTTTTGCATCAGATTTGAATTGCGTATGCAGTTATCTAGCTATGACACGATATCGGAGAAAAGTACAGAAAATATGACTCAATTTACAAGAGGAGCACTCATGCCTCGGATTTCATTTGCAAGTACCACTGCGAAGTTATGGTGGCTTTTTCTTCACCCTAAGTCAACCCTCATCCGTGAATACCCACACAGGGAAACGTCTCAAAATCCTGAGTTATCCAGACATGCCTCATCATCTTTCAACTTTTCTCAGCGCGAAATGTAATCTGAGATGTCTCCTTCCCAAGTGGAGTAGGTGCCCAGGCTACTCAGACTATACCAGAGAACACCACCAGGAGGCGGACCACGACACCTTCCATCGTCGGCTTGTTTTTATAGTGTCAGCTGCACTCTCGCAAGCTAAGTCTTTGCGCGCACAAATCTCAATTCGTTAAACTCTTGCCAAAATTCGAAATTTCACGCCCGTCGAGAATGTTTCCCTCATCTGCATCATCTGCATCATCTTGTAAACTTGTCCTGATCCCTCTCACGTCCATCCCAAAGAGCTATCTCCCAGATTTGTGCTCCACGCTTTGCTTCCTTCGTCGGGTGTAAATATCGGCGTGGGCGTGTATTTGGTGGTCGAGGCCAGAGAAAGTCGGCGAGAGGTATGGTCATTGGGATGAGGATGTACTAGGTCGTACTTGTAGACTTGATGAAGCTTAGTTGAGAATCGGACTCTTTGGGAGGGAAAGATTGACATGGTGGAGTAACTTCAATTTTTGCCTCGTGGGCCAACTTCTTTGATATTGCAAAATTTGACTGAACTTGGCTCTGGGAGAATATTTCACTCCCAGGTTCGTAGAGGACACCGCGTACAGGTGTTCAGTCTTGCCCTCATCGATACATGTCTGCGTATGTTGTGGTCTCGGAGAACTTTCGACGCGAGTATTGGCGCTTCGAATTCCTTATAACACGGCGAAAAGCCTTTCTGCTCTCATCATCCCTGAAGATCCTGTATTGAATTTTATTCATAAGGCACTCTTCGGTCCACCAGGGTGACGTTCTACCCCTCTCAGTTTTACCACGTTGGCCTGTAGTTCTTATTACATCGCTTACAGTCCGGACCAACGCATCACCAAGGTTGAACTTAGACTAAACTTGGCACTGGGAGAATATTTCACTCACAGATTCGTTGAAGAAATTGCGGGAAGGTGTTCAGTCTTTGTCCTCCCCACTTTGGAGATTGTAAGTATACTTAGAGTAATCTTTTCATACGTCCTGATATCTCCAACGTTCATCTTGTACTGCTTTTCGGATTTTTGCTCCAAGGTTATTGTCCTGCGGATTCGTGTTCTTGTGGGTGTGTACCTGGGGACCTGTTAAGGTTAGAGATTATGTCGACGAGAGATGTGGTCATTAAGATAGGAATTTATTGAGTCGTATTTGCAGGCTTTATGAGGCGATCTTCTTGGGAGTGGAAAATTGAGGTGATCGAAGTATTTAATGATTGCCGAAAGGGCCTATTTGTATGCAACTACGAAAAATGATTGAATTACACTCTGGGAAACACCTATTCACAAGTTTGTAGGGGTCGTTGCTGATTGTCGTTAAATTTTGATCATCCAGAAGACTCCCAGTGATAAGTTACAGTTAAATTTATTAGACACAAGTATTGAGCTCTTCTTCACCGTCTAGAAGTGTAGCTGTAATCCTGCAAGGCCTCTAGGATACATGCAATTTATTTTCCTGAAGCAAGCATCATCACTCTACAAGTATTGGGAGTCATGACTCTTTTGAATTTTTTGTTCTAGCAACTCACTTATTTATCGGACTTCCCATCTTTGGTGTTCGAGAAATGGATACCTATGATGCATTAGTCTTGTGCTTCAAGCGCCGATTCTGAATTTTCTAAGAATAACGTCTCCAGCATTGATGACGGCTCAACAAGTAGATATCCCAAATTTCTATGTCAAATTAAAGCCAAGCAAGCTGACTCAAATAATCATGGTACATATGAAACTAGAAAATGGATGAAAGGCGCCCTTTTCCACAAGTCTAAATTCCAACCAACGCAATAACATTGGTTGGAATTTATCACATTCTTAGCTCACCTGAGAGAAAATTCCGACTACTATTGCCGCTACTATCGCAAAAGAGAATTCATGGACCTATGCACTCTCATTTCATGGTCAATACCATGGTCACTGGGGAAAAATACATTACTTGTGATACTACATCGTATCAGCACAAGAGATAAATTATATCTACAACAACAAATTATTGTAAAATATTCGCATTCAATGATCTAGATATCTCACCAAATATGCTTCACGAAATACTTCTATCTCTTTCAGGACATCCTTCCCCTCTTCTCACCAGTGATGATGTCTTTTCATCAATTTTCTCCCCACCAGAGAAAGCATTGTTGAGCTCTATAGCTCATCTAAGCGAGCTTCATTGCAAATTACTCTCTCATACCTCCACAATTGCCGCTACACATCCTTCAGGTATTTGTCAAGCCGTTGCCAACACATTGCGCTGTAATTATCTGGCAAAGTTTCAGCAAAGAATATTGGATGTTGAGCATGATCTACTTCGAAATGGGGATGAGGGCGACGGCTCATACAAAAAAGTTCCCCTGACAGCAATTGTCGGTCAATTTTCCGGTTGGACGAGAAGAATGGAATGGTTCTTAGAAATCCTAGAATTCATAATGCATGAAAAAGTATCTAGTCAGAGGTGCTCCGGTGCGATGTTGATCGATCACCTATGTGATTCACTTCAAACTGGATACTTGGACATTGAAGAAGCTGCATTATCTTTAATTACTGTTGCTGAAACAGCCTGGCTGAAACAGGTGTCCGCCTGGGTGCTATACGGAAGACTTCCGAGCTTTGGAAGAGATGACTTTTTCATTCAAATCACAAATAATCATGTAGGAATTATGAAGATTGGTCTAGATTCCTCGTACTAATTCCAAGTAGGAATGCGAAAGCAAGAAAGAGTTACTTCCAGCCTTCGTCTCGGTTGCCACGGCCAACTCACTCCTATTCATTGGTCGATCACTCAATCATATAAGAGTCAAGGACTTGAGAGCAAAGTCTTTGGAACTAAATCTACTGCACAATCACCTGCAGCAGATGTCTAGCCTCCAATTCCCAATCACCAGCGCCAATTTCTCCCGGGTAATTTCTTCCATTCGGTCATCATTATCGCAGATAACTCTTCGAAGCTTACTGCCCCTCTCTAAAGTCATAGGCATATTATCGCTTCTCCGAGAACTTTTCTTGTTAGGTCGGGGTGAGTTTGCGACTGCTCTTGTCACTGAGGCTGACTTGAGAATGCACTCACGATGGCAATACTGCGGAATATCTAGCTTCGAAGATCCTGACGCGTCCACGAAGATTTATGCCAAAGAGGGCGAAGTTTCTGCAATTTTGACAAAGACTTGGGCATCTTTAAGCGCCATGCGAGGTCAACACGAAGAGAATCAAGAGGAGGATGACATACTTGAACTAGCCAGAGATCTAGTACAGCTCAACATTTCACGGCCTATAGTACCAAGTATCTCACAAAACCCCTCTCAAGATATCAATGAAACTATATCATCTACGCCTTTTAATACTCTACTTCTGTCAATTCCGACTACCCTTACTCTAGAAATCCCGTCACCCTTGGACTTATTTCTCACTCCGTCTGATATACAAATATATTCAAGCATAAATGCCTACCTTCTATCAATTAATAGAGCTCATCTAAGGTTAACAAGCCTATGGAAAGTTTCGGCCATCCGTCGTGACCAATCGTTACCTTGGTCCTCAAGCATGAAGATGAATCATGCTATCATCCATGCGCGTCGTCTGAGATCAAACCAAAGACTTTTGGCTATGCGCAAAGTTTGGGCAACAAGTAGTGCTGCCTTATTTTTTCTTGCTGAAACTGAAGCCTACTTCCAGGCTGAGGTTGTTCAAGGCATATGGTTCGGTTTTAAAAATTGGATCAACGCTGAGTCAGGATCGTCTACTAGTACTCTGCCGGTTCCTAGAACAGTCGAACTGGATTGCGGGAAAGATATTTGGTTGCAAACTGAAGTCGAGGGTGCTTCGATTCCTCCAAAAAGTAATAGCTCAATGCATGATCCGCAGTCTCTTGCTGATGCGCATAGAAGATACCTATCTGCTTTGATAGCCAATCTTCTTTTGGAAATTCCGACTTTCACGCAACCACTCTATCATCTTTGCCAGCAGGTCGATCATCTCGTCAGCCTTGTTCATCAGATTCACTCTATCTGGCAATCTCTTGATCTAGAAACTGATGAGGGCGTCGTTGATGCATTTTCAGATTTTTGTAAGGAAGAGAAACTAATTAAAGAGCAGTTGGCTATTGTAGCTACGAGGGTAAAAACTGCCATTGAGAATCTTATTGGCAGCTTGCGAGAAATTGACCAAAATAAATTCGTCAGTGACAGTGATATTACAGAATTAGTTCTAAGTGAGGATGGCCAGTACGTACCGTCCAAAGTTGGTCGCGTTGATCGCTTACTAATGAAGTTGGATTTTGGTGGCTGGTTTGATGACTGTGGAAAAGAAAATCATAAAACAGAGATATAAAGTGACTTTGTTCTCTTTCTTACGATCTGATTAAGGGATGTCAAACAATGAGGAAACTATACATTTATTGGTGACTCAATTTTATGAAAAGTTAATAATAGTTAACCCCACAAGGCCTTAAGATAAAATGCCAATGACGGATAGATTCCTTTAATAATTTATGTTCTCAATGTGGCATATTATTCTACGTGATAAACCGGCCCCAATCAGAATTCAACAAAAATCTATCTTTCCTTCGACTAAATTTTCAAGGAAGATGGTAGAATATTGAGCATCTCTCCCTCTTAAAAAGACTGTTGGTGGTATTAAATTTCTAAAAACCAGACTCTTTCACCAGCTTCAAAATAAAATTGAAAGTTTCCCGACTAATATATATAAATATTCCGCTATAGCTCAAACACGCCACCCAATCTACATACCTTAATTAAATACATTTTTAGTGATAGAGAAGGGTGCTTTCCTTGTGTTTAAACCTCAAAGGTAGAGTGAAGTATAAGACAAGATATCTGACAACAACTGCTCAAAATATCAGTATTTAGTCGCCTCAGTCAAACACTAGACGATGGTAAAGTTTATCATCAATTACACAAAATAAATTAAAGAAAAAATAAAAATAAATAATCCAAAGATATGAGTCAAAGTTTAAGACATGCATGGTATTATGAAGACCAAACTGTTGTCCATTATTCCCTCTAAGAAGCTGTATAAAATGTACTATCAGGCCAGGATACGGATAAAAAACCGATCTCACTAAGAACTGATACTAGAGAACACCAAAATCTAGGTAGAATGTTAAATTAGCAAATTCTCTATTCTATGATCACTTTGATAAGAACTTAATCTCCCATTGTTATTCATCTATAGACAAACGACAATGATTTCATCGGTCTTGGCATCAGTGTCTTTGAGATATTGAACAATGTAGTAGGTGTGATATTCCAAGAAGAGATAGTGAATTTAGCCGTAAGAATGTCATGTTCAGGTAACAGTCAACTTCAGAAAAGCAATGCGCTAAGTTCAGGTTTAAGGGGAACGAAGACATGAAGACTGTCAGCGATACCTCTAACTGTTGGAAATCTAGACTTAGTATGTATGAAGGTTTAGATGTCTATGCGTGATCATAAAGATCAATTAAATTGATTCTGTGAGCGGATGCATATTTAAGTATAGTCAGCTCTAGTTATGCAGTCATGTAATATATAAGGACTGGGAGTTATACAGGCATCCAAGGTGATCCGTGCATATACACACATAAGAAGGGCGGTCTTTCTCGTTGAACCTAGGTAGAGAACCTTTGTGATTTGGTTGTTATACAAGATTGAGCCAATAACGTTTACAGATTCAATTGTATATGATTAAGCTTAGCCAGGCGACATGAGGTTTTTTTTTTTTTTTGCATCAAATTTTAATTGCGTATGCAGCTATCTAGCTATGACACAATATCAGAGAAAAGTACAGAAAATATGACTCAATTTGTAATAGGAGCACTCATGCCTCGGATTTCATTTGCAAGTACCACTGCAAAGTTATCGTGGCTTTTTCTTCACCCCAAGTCAACCTTCATCCGTGAATACCCACGCTGGGGAACGTCTCAAAATCCTGAGTTATCCAGACATGCCTCATCATCTTTCAACTTTTCTCCGCGCGAAATGTAATCTGAGGTGTCTCCTTCCCAAGTGGAGTAGGTGCCCAGGCTACTCAGACTATACCAGAGAACACCACCAGGAAGCGGACCACGACACCTTCCATCGTTCGCTTGTTTTTATAGTGTCAGCTGCACTCCCGCAAGTGACGTCTTGGCGCGCACAAAGCCCACTTCGAAAAACTGCTTGCCAGAATTCGGAATTTCACTCCCTTCAAGGTTATATCCTTCCTTTGCATCATCTTGTAAACTCGTCCTGGTCCCTCTCACGTCCATCCCAAAGAACTGTCTCCCAGATTTGTGCGCCACGCTTTGCTTCCTCCGTCGGGTGTAAATATCGGCGTGGGCGTGTATTTAGCGACCGGCTGAGGCCAGAGAAAGTCGACGAGAGGTGTGGTCATTGGGATGAGGATGTACTAGGTCGTACTTGTAGACTTGATGAAGCTTAGTTGAGAATCGGACTCTTTGGGAGGGAAAGATTGACATGGTGGAGTAATTTGAATTTTTGCCTCGTAGGCCAACTTCTTTGATATTGCGAAATTTGACTGAACTTGGCTCTGGGAGAATATTTCACTCCCAGGTTCGTAGAGAGCACCACTGACAGGTGTTCAGTCTTGCCCTCCGACATGAGGTTTAGTAATGTCTCAAATGCAGTGTCCAGAAAATGATACCTTGCGATAATTGAGTGGCTAGTTGTTGCTAAATCCACGGGAGTTTGGGATAATTAAAGCTTTGAGAATGTGTATTTGATGATAGTGTTGATTCGGCTCAGGTTGGATGCTGCGACCTCAGGCCATAAGGCTCGGTAGACAATAGTAGCTGACTAATATGGAGATGCCTGTGCGTTTCATCTAATCCGCAGAGGTTCAAAACACCCCAAATAGAATTAAAAATAAGTTGAATTCAGTACACTCTATTTCCACTCCCCAGCACTAGTGCTTAAGTCCTGTCAATAGATAGACTTATATGTGTATGTTAAACTGAGTAAAGGAATATTACATACTACTAATTCAAATTGTGAAGAGGGTTCGGTATCCTATACATCTATCAACAAAGTCTTGTTCGAAATTTTACTCTTGTTCTTCGAGATGTTTCCTTGAAATCATTGACAATTTCTAACTAAACAAGCTGGCAAAGACGAATTCTTCACCTCCCAGTGTTGCCGGTGTAATCGCTTAGTATGCTCTGCACATCTGGGATAGCCAAGAAGAATCGCATTCAAATCAGAGTGGAAAGCACTCACAAGCACATCTAAAATCGACGAGTTCTCGTCAATGTCAAATCTATCATTCTCACGCGAATCCTCTATCTCAATCTTGCTACACCACCTTGCCTCAAATACCGATAATGGCGTTACTCCAATTGCAATCGGGTATTTGCCTCATCCAAAATGGGCCATCTCCCGCTACAAAGTTACGATGCTATGTATACCCGCGAGGAGGAAATTAAGTCATAATCTACAAAGTTCGCGTCTTGGTATATGGGGGACCGTTGCTCTAATAGGGCTTCACATCTTGAGAGAGGACAGGCAGCTAGGACGTGGGAAGAACGAGTGAAGAGGTCACAAATGGGCATATTGGGACACACATTTTTCGAATATATACGACTCAAGGGTGTCTGTGGGCGCTGAGGCAACGATTTCGGATATTGCTACCGATACTCTAAAAACAGGCAACAATGGAAGGTGTTTTGGCCCGCCTCCTGGTCGTCATCTCCCCTAAATAAAGTCTAGGTAGCCTAGATGCCAACCTCACTCGAGAAAGGGAAGACTGTGAGACCATATCTCGTGCGGCGGCTATATACAAGACGACAAAGTCATATGAGGGTAGCCAAAGATTTTCCTATTTTCCCTTTGGTGGATGTTCACGGCTGAGGGAAGGGTGAACGTCCCTAGCACCAAGGTCTCAAGTGGTATCAGCGAATGCATCTACTACATGAGTAGTCCAAATTTCAAACTGAATTATCGTCATATTTAGTCGCCGGATAAGCTATTCATCTCCGTGTCAAGCTCTTTGAGTGCAGGGCTTGTGCCCGTCACGAATAAACTTTCATTCATTCATTCTAACAAACCAATATTTTGCCCCTTTCTTTAGATCTACAGGGGGACTATTCTCATAACTGTCGGTTGTGTCCCCTACGAACCTCTAGCTCTCACTGTAGAGTCTGCAAAGCCGAGATTGAGTAACAAAGTCCCCACTTCCATGAGGGTTCCCAGTCGCTTTCGCGGTCTGTATCGTCTTCATCTCTCAACACATTCCCCCATCACCACTATCATGAAGCTAACCACGATCAGATCAGATGGTAGGGTCGGAGCCTTACTCATCACCAAACCTTGATCACGGAGGAAAAGCCATCCGATGAGTTTCCGGAGCGTACCCAGCACCCGATACGGAGATGGTGGATTGGATCAAGTCGACCTCGAATGTTACAAAGAAGGGGGATATAGATAAGTATGCGCACCTCATGAGGTCCCGGTGTCTAGGCCTCGACTGGCTGAGGCCGTAGGTTTTTTGACTTTTTCCCGCGCACGCAGTTTCCATTGCTACCATTTTAATTTTTTTGGTAGAAGGTTTCGTGGAAAAGATGGCCGAATTCTACGGGTAAATACTGTGATGAATGGCTATTCAACAAGAGCAATGTATCAATGATCCTACAAGTAACAAAAGAGGCAAGGAGCACTGTGCAAGGTATGGCCTGGGCCAGATAGGAGCCCATCGTGCTAGAAAGTCTGTCTAAATGTGTAATTCATAATGTCAAGGGTGACTTGGTGGGGCTACCTAATCGTGTATGGCGTAACGGAAAATAATAAATGAATATGTACACAGTCTCTTCTTTGGGAGAGAGAATAGTAATCATCTTAAAAACACCCTTATCGTTGCAACAAGCTTGTGATTAAATTATTCCGTAGGAGTATTCCGACATAGTCTATGGCTCAAGTAGTGCAATAAACATATCTCTCTCTCAGACATTTACTGTACTTTTCTTTTCTTTTGTCCCTTATGGCTTTATTGCCGGTCACGTTGGTAGCAATGAGCTTCTAGGGCCCATCTGCCCGTGTTACGTCTAAAAAGATATTAAGTTCAAATTCAAATCATCCGCTATTTTCTCCTGACCCATCCCACAACACATTGCTCATTACCTTTCGTTCAAGAATCACCGAACACGGCAATAGCCTCAGCTGTTGCATTGTCATCGTCAACGCCCTCCAACACAGAAGGACAACTTCACCCAAGTCAGCTAGGCATAGTAAATGCAATGCTGATAGCTGAACAAGGAAGAAAAGAGAGACAAAGCGTAGACTAAGGAATTCTAGAACTAATTAAATCCTGAGCCAAGAATAACGGAGAGAAGCAGGCTGCTGCAGTCGTCGCGACTCTGATGGATAATAACACGCCTGTAATTATTACCATTACAGTAGATAAGGTAGAAACACCAAATATTACAAGAAGTTCCTCACCATAGCAACCACGGAGGAAGAAGGCTGAACACCTGTCAGTGGTGTCCTCTACGAACTTGGGAGTGAAATATTCTCCCAGAGCCGGGATTCAGTCACGACAAAGGGTGTATGAATTTTATTTGATGGATTTTCGACTTGAAGGAGTTGCACTCGATATTTTGGTCGAAAAATCAGTCGGCAGAGATTTTACAGCCGGAACAAAGTTGAACAAAAACTCATCACCACTAACATACGATTCACGAATAAGCCTAGGTCTGTCTGGGGGTCGTATTCAAACATCCGAAATCTCTAAAACTCCTTTTATATTTGCGACGAAGCATTTTTCAGTCGATCCTATACCTGCGACCCACTTCCATACTCGTCCAATCACCTACCCACACACGTCCTATTGAGGAAAGTCATAATGGAAACGGGACCTGTACAAAGGAGGAAGATAGGGAAGATGCACCGAGGGGATTACACAAATCCCCAATGACGAAAACAACCCAATGGTACGATATGAAGGTGCAAGGCTAGAGCAACGATGAGATCTTGGGCGGCATTTATAGTTCGGAGTCAATGAGGATGTCAAGGGCTCGGGCGCGTGGTGGCCGAGGCTGAGGAGGAATTGCGCCACGGCGTGTATACAGCGGGTTTCTGGACTATTAGGCTTGGTATGATTCAATACATGCGTGAAGTCTGAGGTGGTCCGGTCATTAAAGTGGGACGAGGTTTATCTGTACTTCACGGTAGTTAACCTGATCCGGCCCGGCCCACCCGTGCTTAAGCTCCAATAGGAATGCAACAGTAGTCATGTAACCTAGCACGTAAATGAACAAAACAAAACAAAACAGTCCTCGAAACTTAACATCACTATCAATTCATCCTCACTTCTAGCAAACAATGTCTCTCCAAAAGTCTGCTTCAGAAACTAAAGTTCGAGAGCATCTAACTCGCGATCAATGTATTGAAATAAGAGCATTAAGTAGACTTGACTTGACATTACAACATATATCCGACGAACTTGGCATCACTATAAGGCAAGTGCAACTTGCGTGTGCTCGAGAGACTGAGAAACCGATATCCCGCAAAGGAAGCTCACCTAAATTAAGCACGGAACAAGTTGATGAACCCGAGGCTTTCGTCCGGGAATCTACTGAAAATCCACAGATGTGCCATATGGAACTAGCAATGGGGCTCTTCAGCCACTGGGGATGCAGTGAATGTTTAATTTCTAATGCACTCAAAAAAAAAGGTTACAGCAGATGCATTGCTCGGAAGAAGCCTACGTTAAGTGTGGTTAACATGCAGGAAAGATGTGCAGCAGTGATAAAGGAAAACGAAGGGTACACAAAGTATTAGCATGGAGCAGACTAATACAAAGCATGTAGAACGGTTTAATTTTAGTTGCAAGTCATACTGAGGGCTTCGATGTATTCTTTTGTTATACAGCAATTATTTTTGAAATAGATGTGCATTTTTAGAGAATATCAATTGATTTTTTAATTTTGAATCGCAAATGAGGACCATTGTACTTTTCCCATTGAGTTCAAAAATTTTCCCATAATTTAGACTATCACGGAATTTCATTGGATAGAACCCCTTGCTTGCATAACTAGTCGAGTAGCTAGACATGGGCCTGCATGAAGACCATACCTATTAAGGCAAAATGACAGGGGTCTAACCCCTGTCATTTTGACAATTTTACCTTTGCCATCCATAAGAGACTGTACTGGTGACTAGTATGAACCCCTGGCTATCATGCGTACCATACATTGGCAAAATCGCTACATTTTGCTTAAAAACGCTTATTTGCTCAGAAGCATGCGGCGGAATTACCTGAAAATTGTCACCGGAGCAGACAAGTCCACCAGCATGAGAGTGCTGGAACACGGAACGGCCACCCTTCCCATTGAAATGTTCTTTATGCAACAAAGTCTTTAATATTTAGGTCGCTCTAAGGACTTACCTGTTCAGAGATAATCCAGTCCGCCTGTAGTAGAATCAAGCTGCCTAGAAAATGGAGAGAAGATATACGAACAATTAACAGGGAGATAGATCTTGTCAACTGGACGGGAATGTGCGGTGAACATCAAACCAAGAAGACACATACAAAGATAGTGAAATCTATGGCATACCAAGAGTGAGCGAAATCCTTGGTCAAGCAGAAACGAACTCGGAAGCTAGCAACTGCAGATCCCGAAACTTGGAGAGCACCCAAATTTTACCAAAATTAGAGAATCCAGACGGCAAAAACTGAACTATCAAGACTCACCACTCTTTCTACATAGTAATTAGACCAGGGCCCAAAGCAGTTTGGCGATGCAAATACGAAGTGAGAACATGGGGCTCAACTCGCATTTACACAGAAGAAAAGTACCCGGAGTATTAAGTCCAGGTTGTCCATGTGGCGAAGAATTATAGAATCACTAGCATTTGATTATGTCCTGCCCCCGATGGTCAAATGGTAGAGCTGAAATCTGGAGACAAGCCAAAGATCGGTTCAACGAAGCGATGATAAACAATCCTGGGTACATTAAAAGGACTACAAAGAGGATCCTTAGTCGTGGTTGGATAGATCAATTCCGTATGACAAAGGCGTTCGAAATGCTGCCGAGGAAAAGGAACAGGTTAAGTAACGCTTGGGGTAGTTATAGATGATGTGGTTGGTTTAGATGGATGGCAATATGGTGTAACTGCGCTTCCTGAAGAAAATATGTGAAAATATGCGAAAACTAAAGGCAACAAGCAGAAAGTTGATGGAGTTTTAACCATAAAGGTTTCCTTCCGTGTAAATATTACAGATTTTAGACACTTGTATGGGCCCACAGGGCGCTAAGTCAGGATAATGATATCAAATTCAAATACATTTATTTGATAATTGATTTAGAAGCTCTATTTAAGGATTCTTTACTCTACCCTCGTACACTTGGTAAGTCTGTCTCCAGCAGCTGCATGATCGGCCTTCCGTAGGGTACGAGTTGAAGGATGTGTGGAGTGTAGTGATAATTCCTTTGAGGAAGAATTGTGAAGGTAGCGTAGGGTACAGTATTCACGGAAAGGTAAAGTTAAAGTGAGTAATGGATGAGGTTGGTATATGAACAGAGGTCTTAGAGAAAAGATAAATAAATGAGTCTAAGGTACCAGTGTAGACAGAAGACGTTGGGGGAATAAGAATGCTTCTTCAAGCCGGGTAAATATGTATATTAAATAACAGAAAACCCCATAGACTCTGTCTGAAATAGTTTTAGAACGCAAGTCCTATAAAACGAGCCTGTTTGCCTAAGCCTATCCTACTTGTTTAGAAGTTCAATCTAACAGCACATTGTGTTTTGGCATGAGACTCCCTATGAGATAACATCCCAAGTTTCACTGCGTATATCAATGAAAATCTAAAGCTCTGTCTTCTAGTACGAACGATATTTCTTGCCGCAACTTGCACCATAAAGGTTTTTTCTCGGACAGTCACGAATTTACTGTGCACAAACGCATCCACTGCACCGGGCTGTCTTTTAGTACCATGCCGGCGTATGCCTCAATCAGCCATGGTTGATACTGTGGCTGGCTTGAGAAGTGCAAGATTAGGCCTACACTCTGTACAGTAAAGTATCGAGAACAATGCCGAGGTGGATCATTCTTTCTCGCGAGATTTCTGAAGAAGGCTCCTAAGAACAGAATCCCTCATATGATCATTCATTTTGGCTCTTTTTGTCTCCTGACCATCGTACATTAATCTTGGTCTATTAGTTTTCAGGCTTATGATACTGATCTTGGTCAATGATCAAATCTTTTGAATTCATTTTAAATTATTGGCGTTTCTACCCCCTCCAATTCATGTCTCCAGCGGGACCCATAAACCTCCATAGGTAAGTTATGCCTTAATACTTGGAAGGCCTCCTGTTTGATCATGTTGGGAGCCGCGTCTCTCTTAGATGATGACGGCGTGAATTCCTCGGTTCCTGGACCATACATGCACTTAGAGTGTGGTATTATACCTTCATGAGCTACTCTATGGGCTACTTATCTTTTACTACGCCCACTAGTATTCTGACCGATATTCTCGCTAACTGGATTGCGACAACTTACGCGTACTTCAATGAGGCCGACGACCCCTAAACTGTTGGTTGAAATGCCTTTCAGGCGAGGACCACGGAACCTTTTTTCAGGACCTCAACCAATGCCATTCTTCTCTCTTCAATGGAAGGTGTGGTGTGGAACAATGATATTCAGGATTCCTTGTAGTTGCTGTGAGCCTGAACGGTTCTATTAACATCCTTTATTGCAGAAAGCCCTTCATCCATTTTACCAATTACGATTAGTCTGCCTTTTTGCGATAGGTTTTTTAAGCTTTCAAATTTTTATCCTTGCCGCTGCTCGCGACGCGTCAAGATCACTGAATTTACCAAAATTGTCCCTCACAACCGTCATGATACCGCATAGAAGTTTTGATGATGTGAAAATGGTAAATACTGACAGATGAGTAATTCAATGTCAAGTCAGAGAGAAAGGCTGCGTGAATTTCTGTGTAGATTTTCGTGAAGTGTTGTGTTTCCTGGATGATGACCTAATTTGTGTGTCTAAGAAATCGCGGCTCTATGGGGCTCGTGGTGGGGTAGGATGCTTGGTACTGAACACTGACCATACTATGATACGTTGTTTGACACATCTGCCAAAACTAAGTCTATCGCCATTAATCAGTTCTCTACGCATAACCTTTAAATATTCTGTAGGAATCCAACTAAACGAAAAACAAACCAATTGGGCTTGATACTTGTAAAATCTACTTTCTCAAGACTCTCTAATCATGGCGGACGCACCAACAGCAAGTATGGCAAAGCTTCAGCTTGACGAGATGACGGGTGAGATGGTATCAAAAGGAGAACTTAAGAAAAGAAATGCAAAGCGGGCAAAGAAGCTTGCTCAAGCTAAGGTCAAATCAGATGTGCAATCTCAGCCTCCAAAAGTAGTTTCCGACAAGACAAAGGTTGAAAATGTAGACAAGGAAAATATCGCGAATATGTTTAGCCATGGTTGGCTTGACGAAGTTTATAAAGAACGTCCCGTTAAACCTGTAACTACTAGATTTCCCCCAGAACCAAATGGGTATCTGCATATCGGCCACGCCAAAGCTATCGCCGTAAACTTTGGCTTTGCGAAGTTTCATGGAGGTGACTGTTATTTACGATTTGATGATACCAACCCAGAAGCGGAGGAAGAAAAATACTTCATTGCGATCCAGGAGCTGATAGAATGGCTCGGGTTTAAACCATGTGCCGTGACGTACTCTAGCGATAATTTCGATAAATTATATGAAAAAGCAGAAGAATTAATTCAGCTCCAGAAGGCATATGTCTGCAGTTGTGAAGGTATTTTGGAAATCTGGCTAATTATCTCATGCACTGATTAGCTTGTTAGATGCCGAAATAAAAGCTCAACGCGGAGGAGACGAAAGAGGCCCTCGTTTTCGATGCGCTCATGCAGATCAATCAATAGAATATAACCTCACAGAATTCAGAGCCATGCGGGATGGAAAATATAGGCCTAGAGAAGCTTTTTTGCGAATGAAACAGGATATAGAAGATGGAAATCCGCAAATGTGGGATCTAGCCGCCTACAGAGTTCTCGATGCTGAGCATCATCGAACAGGGTCCAAGTGGAAGATTTATCCAACCTATGATTTCACTCATTGCCTCTGCGATAGCTTTGAAAAAATCACCCACTCACTCTGCACAACAGAGTTTATTCAGTCAAGAGTTTCATATGAATGGTTGAATAAGACTTTGAAGGTTTATGAGCCAATGCAAAGAGAATATGGTCGTCTAAGTATTGCTGGAACTATCCTTTCAAAACGTAAAATTATGAAGCTTGTTAACGAAAACTACGTTCGAGGTTGGGATGACCCTAGACTATACACTCTCAGTGGTATCCGAAGACGTGGTGTACCTCCTGGAGCAATTTTAGAGTTTGTCAATGAGATTGGAGTTACTACCGCGCCAACTATTATCCAGATGTCGCGCTTTGATCAGACAATAAGACGATACCTAGAGCAAACAGTCCCTCGCTTAATGTTAGTACTTGATCCTTTGCCTGTAACAATTGAAGATGCTGAGGAGATGGAGCTTGAGTTACCTTTCTCGCCAAAGATTCCTGCCATGGGTGCTCACAAGGTAAACTTGACCAAAACTATCTACATAGAACGAACCGACTTTAGGGAAGTTGATAGCAAAGATTATTTCCGACTCGCACCTGGAAAGTCGGTTGGTTTACTCCAAGTTCCATTTCCGATAAAGGCTATCTCTTTTACTAAGGAGGGCCAAAATATTACCAGTGTCCTAGCTCGCTATGATAAAGAAGGTAAAAAGCCAAAAACATATATTCATTGGGTCTGTAGTGGGTCACGAAATGTTGAGGTCCGCCTGCATAATGCATTATTTAAGAGTGAGAGGCCAGAAGCTGCTGAAGGTGGATTTCTGAACGATATCAATCCTGACAGCGAGAAAGTCTGGCCGGGAGCGCTGATTGAGTCTGGATTTGATGAGGTAAGAAATCGTGCTCCTTGGCCCAAAGCGGCAGGGGAATCCAATCTGGGGAAAGGAAGATTCGAGTCTATTAGATTTCAAGCTATGAGAGTGGCATACATGGTAAGTTTAAAGTTCCAACACCCTCTGGTGAACTGTACTTAAAATTCCTGGGTAGACTGTGGATTCAGATAGTACCGATGACAAGATCATTTTGAACCGTATTGTTAGTCTCAAGGAAGATTCTAGCAAGGACCGTCCGCAATAAATATGACCTGTGGCCAGTATCCACAAGCTTTCTCGACCCAATTATTATATTCGGTGAGGAACAAAATCAACTTTTGCAATAAATATTGTCTTTTAGTTGTCTTCTATTAACATCGCTCGAAGCTGTCTGGAATTTTTGTTGTTTCAAATTACAGAAACTGTGATAAATTCAGCATGTAAAAATCAACTCGAGCTAAAGCTTCACGGAAAATAGATGGTATGCGACCAATTTTCCGCTATTTCTCATTATTCCCTCCTTCTCTCCAGCCCTATAATACATATAAAACCCCCAGAACAATACCATTTCTCACTTCGAAAATATCTTTGCGTCAGAGACATGTTCTTGAACAGAATAACTCAAATTTAAATGAAATATTATATTTTATCAGTGGGAACTATTTCACCTACTCATGTAAACAAAGCTAGTCAGGTCATGTGACCTGACTAACAGTATGAAGATGTTGGGATATTGAGAATGTATAGTCACAAGAGTAAGATAATACAGATGGTAATTTACGACATGTGGGGAATGTGAAGATATGGTGCTAGGAATGTAGAGTGATAAAGATGTGTTATGTACTAAGGATGTGGATACCTCTCACTTGACCAACTGGCTGACTAAGCTGCATTTCCTGACAACAGACTTCAACTGTAGCAGTGGAACTCTCTGATCAACATTTACAACGCAATACCGTGTACCACGTATCTTTCTTGAGATATTTTTTAAATTTAATAATTCACAGTTGTCTTCTATGCTAATTTAAGCATCACGAGCCACAAGATATTCATGAATATGTTACGATAAGCAGCTAGATAGATTTTCACCTTTTTTATAGTCTGTATCTTGTTGTTCAAGTCGAGTCATTATATTCCTTATTGTATTGCAATCCTTCAATTATCTCTCATTATGCTTTATATCTTAAAATTGTCATTTATGGAACAACAAAGCCAATTTTATAACTTTTTATAGAACATGAATGTAAGCACGTAGCGTGAAATTTTTTTAATAAGTCTATATTCGGATTTGATACTAATTATGAGAATATTCTCGGAATATACATCAGATCTGGGTATATACCTCATGGACTGAGCATTCAATCCAATATTATTTGGGACAAATTATTCAAAGTCCAACTTTGATCAATACTTTGTCTATAGTGTCACATGTTTATTAATAAAAATATTTAACCATCAAAATAGTTCAATAAAAATTTTCATGTTCATAATTAACATGGTAAGTGGTAAATAATGACAACCCTATTTTGTCTAGATCAAATAATTTTTACAACTTTAGTAAGTCTCTCCACACTTACTACGATGCTACTTGTAAACATATATTTATCTCATCAAGCTTATTATGTGTGTGTGTTTATTTTTTTGCTTGAGATTATAACTGTCTAACACATTGGGCTCCTCTCTAACCCGGGCTATGTGACGGGCTAGGACTTTCGGCCAATGCACGAAAGCAATGCCACAATTAAATGTTTATATTTTCTATGAGGATTTACGAGCGGGAAGGGGGACTATTCTCAACACCTGTCAGTGGTGTCCCCTACAAACCTCCAGCTCTCAGCTCTCACTGTAGAGTCTGTAGAGCCGAGATTGAGTAACAAAGTCCTCACTTCGACGAGGATTCCCAATCGCTTTCGCGGTCTATATCGTCTTCATCTCTCAACACATTCCCCCATCACCACTATCATGAAGCTAACAGCGATCAGATCAGATGGTAGGGTCAAAGCCCTACTCATCATCAACTCTTGATCATAGAGGAAAAGCCACCTGATGAGTTTCCGAAGCATACCCAGCACCCGATATCACGGTACTAGAATGGAAGTTGGCGTGGTTTAAGATTAAGCGATAACTGAGCCTCTTAAGACCTTCGTGTAGCTAGATAGTCTCTTCCCTTCTCATCGCACAAGTCATATATAATATTTACCTCGTTCTTCGTACCCTCGCCCTGTGACACCCGATGCGGAGATTGCGGATTGGATCAAGTCGGCCTCGACTGTTACAAAGAAGAGGGATATAGATAAGTATGCGCACCTCATAAGGTCCCGGTGTCTAGGCCTCGACTAGCCGAGGCCGCAGGTTTAATGAGACTTTTTTCTGCGCACGCAGTTTCCATTGCTACCATTTTATTTTTTTGGGTAGAAGGTTTCGTGAAAAAGGTGGCCGAATTCCACGGGTGAACACTGAGCTGAATGGCTATTCATCAAGAGGAATATATCAATGATCTTTCAAGTGACAAAAGAGGATAGGAGCACTGTACAAGGTGTGGCCCGGGTCAGAGAGGAGCCCAATGTGCTAGATAGTCATAGACTCAAGTATCACAATAAAAAAACACACACACATACGATCGGGAAGCTACGGCTCATTATAACTGTTGTTATTTATGCGACAGTGGAATTAAGAGTATACTGCATACCAGCTATATATTCAGCTGCGTGTGGATACTTGCTCTCGAAATCAGATTCCTTATAATATAAATATAAATATATATATATAATTTATTGTGTGTATTATAACTACAACTTTTGATGCTTGTTTTCTTATTCTTACAATTATCTACACACTTCACAATTACGGAAAGTGTGGAATTCTAAGCGAGACACGTGATACAATTACAGATTTATCGCATGACTTTCAACATCCCCCTTCAGGTGATACTCATACATAGGCATATTAGATTAATGTAAGCGGCTCACGCACTATAGGTAGTCATGTTAAGCATTTTCAGGAATTGCCTGTGCTTGTCGAAGGTCAGTCCTTTCGTCAATCCATCAGCAGCCATCTCTTTGGTGGCAAGGTACTCCAATTCAACCTCTTTTCGTTCCAATTGTTCACAAATGTAAAAGTATTTCGTGGCAATGTGCTTGGTCCGGTTGTGGAATACAGGATTTTCAGCTAACTTTAGGCTCCCTTGATTATCTCCGTAAATTTTGATCTTTTTGACATCTTCTCCTTTGTAGCCAAGTTGATTTAGCAACATGCGTAACCAAGAGGCCTCCATACTTGCTTTACCCAAGGCATAGAATTCTGCTTCGGTAGTGGACTGAGCTACACTTTCAAAGCGTTTGGACGCGGTTGAAATAACGCCTCCGCCAAAGAAAAACACATATCCCCAAGTTGATTTTTGGGTTGAATGGCATCCCGCAAAATCAGAGTCAGCCACACCGTAAAGCTTGCAGCAATCAGTTCCCCCGAATTTAATACCAAGGTTTATAGTGCCCTTGAGGTATTGGAGGACACGTTTAGCCGCCCTTAGGTGCTGAGGAGATGGGTTATGGTTAAATCTGGATAGAAGGCCACAGGTCCATAGTATATCCGGTCTGGTCTTACTTGCCAGATACATAACTGATCCTACAATAGACTGATAGAGAGTGATGTCTTTCTTCGGTGCCACCCCATCATATGGAATCATGTTGATCATAGCGCCAGGCTCGAAAGGAGTGGATACTGGGTGACAATCTTCCATTCCAAATCGTTTCAGCAATTTTTTAGTGTAGGCATCTTGACAGAGTATAATCTGATATTTTTTCCAGTCTCTGACAATCCTAACTCCAGGATAATAGGCTGCTGGACCCATATCTTCTGTCTCGAATAGGCCGAGTAGCCGTTCCTTCATCTTGCCGAATTCAACACCTTGTTTTCCTATCAAAAGTATGTCGTCTATGTAGGTCACAATTATGAACCCTGTGATTTCATGTACATATGTTCCTGGATCGGCTGTTAGTGGTTTAAATCCCAACGTTGAAAGTTGTTTAGCCAGTAATTGTTGCCAAAGCCTAGGGGCTTGCTTTAGGCCATACATTCCACGAAGTAGTTTCCCGACGTGATCACTGTTGGGGATTTTTTCCCAGAAAGGTGGTAGCATTACATAGACCTCTTTATCCATCTCATTATTCAGAAATGCTGTTATGACATCCATTTGATCCATCTCGAGACCATGAAGAGCTGCTAAAGCTACAGCTACTTTCCATATCTCAGAGCGAGCTACGCCAGCAAACGTTTCCTCATAGCCGACACCATACTTCTGTTCAAATCCTCGAACGCAGCATCTGACCTTGTACTTGAGGACTTTGCCTTCCTTATCACGCTTGGTTTTAAATACCAATTTGACTGACAAAAGTCGTTTACCAGCTGGTATATCCTTCTTTTGAGCTAGTGCCCAAGTTTTCTTTCGTAGAAGAGACTCATATTCTTGGTAAATGGCAAGCCGCCACTCGTTAGCGTTCTTACTCGCCAAGGCTTCTATAATGGTTTCAGGGTTGTCGGATATATCCCTCCCTGCAATGAACGCGGCTGCCGTAGATGAATTGTCATTGGCTAGTTCTGACTTAAATTTAGCCGCACGCGATCGTGTCATTCGAGGTTCAGTAGGCGCCTCGTACACTTTAGTTTTTCTGGACTTGTCTAGACAAATCGTTTTCTCCTCTTGGAAACACTCGTTAGCTTCATGCATTGAATCTAAGTTAGTTGCGTTCGTTGGCATAGGCATTTCAACGGTGTCCTCTGGCTCGCTGACAATTCCTTCATCGGTGTCAACATTATTGGTCACTTCCTTCTGTAGGGAACCAAGGTTTTCATGAATTATTTCTAGAGGGGGTTTGGTCTGAGGTCGACTTGACTCGTCGCTCTGATATAAAGTTTCTCCACAAGTTCCCGACGAGTTCTGCTGAGATGTAGATTCAGAAGACATTCGAGTATCCCCCTCGATGGAAGTTCCAATCTCCTCTAAGAGTGCATCTGAAATGTAACCGTGCTCATCAAACCGGACATGAGAAGATCTTATAATCTTCTTCCCGCTTCTCGTTGGCACGTAAAGCCGATAGATGCTATTCCCTTCTTATCCAACCAATATACCAGCCTCAGCTCTCAGGGCTAGTTTGGCTGCGTGAGGTCTTTCTTCTTTTGGAATTTGAACATATGCCTTGCATCCAAGCACTCTAAGATGGGGTATGGATGGTTTTTTGTCATCTGTGGGGTGGATATGATCCATGA